CTCCAGAATCTGTAGTCAGTGGCTACCTATAGAAGCTTCAACGATGATATATGATTAAATAGCTTTCATTCAAATAAAATAAGTCATATATGCCTGATAGATCTAAGGTAGAATATAGAATCAGTATTTTCGAATTAATGAATTCTTAGCCATTATTGTCTCTGTTTTGAAGGTTGACATTCTGTGTTTACATGATGATTCTCTCCGACCTTAGTTCCCACCTTGTCAATTTTAGCCCTTACAATGACAGTCAAAGGATGTCCAATATTCCTGCTTCTCTTTCATATAAATCAGATTGTAGCTCCACTCAGGTCCAATTTGGTTGCAGAGAGAAATGGAGAGATGGGCAGCAAACAAATTTAATAATAAATAAATAAATTTGGTAAAGATCATGTATTCTGCAATTATTCAGAAGTAATCAGAAGAGGATAGCGATCTCTAATAGCTAAGGTGTTCAGGAGCCTGTACATCATAGTCTTAGTGTAGAGAGCATTCGTCTTGACAAGCAAGGTAAGATTTGCTGTAAATTATTTTCAACAAATTCCTTTAGACAATTGACAAATTAACATTCACAACAAGCATTCAGAGAGAAGCACTTCTCTGTAGCTCCTCTGAGTTATGGAATAGCAACCCCCAGAAGTCTATCCTATTTTGACCTTGCTGGCATTTAGAAGAGCTGTGATTTCCGGCAGGTCCTGGGTGGTGTAATTTATCACCCCTCTGTGTCACTATTTTTTTAATAGCATTGCTGTACCCCAACATGAGATATCTCTTCCTTTTATCATTGTATTTGTGTTTCTGATCCTTATTTTCAATACGCTGCCTAAAGTAACTTCAGTAATTGAGGCAACCAATGAATTGATTAAATAAATATGAGACTTTACAAAGATAGCAAGAAGATGCTGTGAGTACTGACAGCAGTGGAAACATATTAGTTTCCACTTTTATTGCCCCTTTAAAACACGTGGCTATGGCCCTTCTTCTCAAGATGGACTTGGTCTTGATTTTAATAATTAATGTTTATCTTCCCATCGCTAAGAAAAGCTGAAACCACTGCAGTATGGATGGAGTTGGAATACTTCATTAGTAAACTCATCATAGACCATCCAAAAGCCAGGGTCTTACTAGGGGGGAGACTTCAATGCTAGATTGGGACAGATGATTACACATTATATATGAAATATCATCAATATCCATTATTGGAGGTTCCCATACAAACCACGACTTTCCCTCACACGACTTTCACACGACTTTCTAAAGACAATAGAGCAAATTATGCTGGCCTCTGTCTTGGCCTCTCTCTAAATGTATTTATATATACATATGTGTGCATCACAAGACAAGACAGAGAAGACAGATAGATAGATAGATAGATAGATAGATAGATAGATAGATAGATAGAACCATCACATGCAACTGTAATTGTATGAAATGTTTCAGCATGGAAAGAACGTCATCATATTGTCATTGGGCTTTTCAACCAGATGATTTCATACACAGAGCAGTTAAATCAACACCTGCTGAATAAATGAGAGACAAAAGTATGGATGCTCTCTTGCATGCCCAGATGTACAGAGCGGAATGAAAGTCTCTTTTCAGTTGATTACTTACCAAGTATTTGCTATGAAAAAGATTAGAATTAGAGGTCTACTAACCAGATAATAGTTTTCAAAATATACCTCCAGCTGTTCCTTTTTCCATGGTGTCTGTTTACAATCTGTTAATTTCGTCCTGTTTCCTCAGAGGGTTTTCTCTGGGAAACCATGTCATCCTTTTAATATTCATGGATATCTTTGAACCATGCCTGCAACATCCACCATTCCAAGCTTGCCATTTTGCATCATCCGAACTTAATGCAGGCAGGTGAAGTTGCTGTCATGAGACCATATGGGAAGAATTGGCTGCTTGTTCAATAATGCTTGAAAGCACACGTGACCTCTGTATTAAGAAAGCTGCAGTGGATAGTCCCTGGGTGGACCCAGACCCATGCTGGTTGCAAGGCTCTTGTAGCCGCTAAGACAAATTCAAGGCGACTGAGGCCTAGCTTTGTCCCTTGTGCAGAGAGAACCCCTGATTTCATGGGGAAGATTATTTTTATTCTTGCCCAATCAAGGATGAAGCCCAAGAAACAAGGGGCTGGGAAGTTTGCTCTTGTATTTTGTCGGAGGCACCATACAACTTAATTTAGAGGAGAGCATACAAGAAAGAAAAAAATGTGGTGCTATTCAGGCATGAGGAGGGAGAGAGGAAAATTAGCCTCAAAACATATTTATTCCTTCTTTCACCTAAAATAATATTTCTCATTGTCTGGGAATGAAATTAAGACTACTTTAGACTGCAGGTCTTTGTAAATGAGCACGGAAATGAGGAGAGACCCGGTACTAAAATGAGGAGAAGCCAGGAAATGCAGAGGCAAAGAAAGATTGAGGCAGGACAAGGAGACAAAAATTTTATCCCAAACCCATTGTAAATCTAAAGCCGAGGTTATCCTCCTCTCTTAAATGAAAAGGGGAGGGAAGGGCACACACACACACACACACACACACAGAGATTGAAGAATAGAAGCAACTTTTGAGACACAAAGACTGTCTTGGGCTGCTGCAGGTTTGCAAAATTATATGTAAATGACATCGGTGACTGACTGTGGTGGCCTTGGGCTAATCCTAGGAAGAATATTGAGCAGAGAAAAGTTAGGAAGGAGGGAGAGTTTTGATCTAATTTGGTTAACAGTACTCAAAATGTTGAATAAATTAATAATAATTTATATTTCCAGGATAACAGTGGGTCCGTAATGCTTCAGTGCCAAAGGAGATCTGAACGGCTTAGTGCTAGGACAGAGAAAAATGGTCAAAGATTTTTTTTCTTCATATTCTGCCTCAAGAGATGAGGAAAATGTGTGCAAGACATGATTTTTGATAATAGACACCTGCCATTCTTCCACCACCACATGGATTTTATCCTATAGATGCTTAACAAGAGCTGTTTTCTTACAACACTCCTGTGGTGGGTTGCTACCGGTTTGCCCCAGTTCGGGTGAACCAGGAGCGGCAGCGGTAGGAGGATCTGCCCACCCGCCCAGATGTCATAAAAAATGCTCTGTGCATGTGTAGAAGTGCCACATACTCACAAAGCAAGCGAGCGCACCCGCACGCTCTCAATAACGAACCAGTAGCACCGGGATTTGAAACCCACTACTGCAACGCTCATAATATGGATTGGAGTCATAAGAAAACTGGTTGTTATTTCTCTTCCTTTCATCAAATTTTAATTGATCTCTTTTAAGTCATCTCTCATACCAGATTTGTTTTTCTGTGTTTACAGTTTAAAGGGGAAAATATGGTATATGTTATACACAATTGTAATGAATATCTTTTTTGTCCCTCTCAGGAATTGTGGGCTTTACAAATTGTGGATCAACCTATTTGATGACCTTAGCAAACAATATAGTTCAGTTCACATCTTAAGTCAGCAGGACAAAATGGAATAAGTTACTCTGTTTCCCAAGAACTAGTCTGGAACTGCTTTATGACCGTTGTGGCATCCCCTGGTCACGTGATTTACATTTGGATGCTTGACATCTGACTCACTTTTATGATGGTTACAGTGTCCTGGGGTCACGTGATCCCCTTTCGCAACTTTCTGACAAGCAAAGTCAATGAGGAAACCAGATTCACTTAACAACTGTGTTACTAATTTAACAACTGCAGTGATTCACTTAACAAATGTGGCAAGAAAAGTTGTAAAATGAGGCAAATCTCACTTAACAAATTTCTCAGCTAGCAACATAAATGTTGGGTTCAGTTGACTATCTGTACAACATAACTAGTCAAGCCAGCCTTTCATCCGGCAGGATAATTGAAGTTGTGCCATTTATCCAGAGAGAGACAATCGTCAGAGTCTTCATAGCTATTACAATGAAATTAGGGGCTTATTAATTCCTTCTATTCCCCCCCCCCTTTCAGGTTTATAAATCTGAAATAGCCCAGTTGAGGGATAGGTCAGCACTGATGGAATCATGAGAGAATTACCCTCCATTAGCACCTTCTTTGTTTCCTATTCCCCCTCCATGTGGCATGGAAGTTAAAATATAAAAACAAATTCTTGGGAAGTTGTTGCTCCTGCTGATGTAGGATAGTTTTAAAATATTGTCTTTTTTGCCACTGTATTGTCTCTTCTCTGTTTCTATGCTATGGCTGACCAAGGTGGCTACATGGCTCCGCCCACATTTTGACAAGCTAGAATGCTCATATAATAGATCCTTTAGCCCACTTAGACTAAGTTGTGTGAACAGGACCATTCTCATCTGTCTGTCAAAAAAAGATAGAATCTAGAACCCTAAGCAGTTTGTAACAGAATACCAAAGCAGTCAGATTTCTAAGTGTTCCGGAATAGCAGCAACCATTTCTTTTCTTCACTCCTATCCACCACCAAGAAAATGTAATAGGAAAGTTTTGTGTAGAGAGTTTGTGAGCTCAAGGCTCGTAGTAGCAATCCTTAGCAGAGATGCATACAGTCATATTTGCCGTTTTCATTAATTCTAGCCGAAAGTCCAGCACTTTTTAAAAGTCACATTTAAACTTTGTACAAGAAGAAAATAACATAAATCCCCACAGGTTCCATGTGGCTCATCCTTCTATTATCCTTTATATTCTTTGTAATGAGAATGTCCTAAGTTCAGCTTCTTGCGAACCAGTAGTAAAGGTAAATAGAACCCACCCCTGCTCTGAATGATCACTAAATGAATGGTTGTAAGTCAAGGACTACCTCTATTTCAGTTAAAGGTTGCCCTACAGAGTTGCTCCTCTTGCGAGTGTAAAAATTGTCATGAGCAGGATGGTAAACATACTCATTCAGCACAGGCATCTCCCCTCTTTGTCTTAAAATCAGTACAGCTCTCTGCAACTATACTGATGTCTGTTTGGAAGCAAACAATATACTATTGGAGCAAATATTTGGAAGAGCTGGATAATAAAAGAATGAATAAAGACATAAGGCATACACACCTTCTTCCCCCAGGAGTTCATCTTTATTCTTTCCCCACCATTAGTTACATATCTGTTTACAGTGATGGGAGGGCCATTATGGTGCAAGGTAATATATTCTCTTCAGATAACTAATGGGCTGAAAGATGTCCTTTGCCTTTAAGAACAACATGTCAGAAGAAACCATCCAGTTCTCTAATTCAGCCATGAAAGACACTGGAGCCCCCTTTGGAAAACAAACTGGACATCCCAGATGTAGGCTACAACACAGATGGATGTTGGCCAGGAGGCAGGCTAAATGTATTGGGGTGGGAATGGCCAATCAGGTTGAGGTAGTGGCGATCCAGCCCTTGTACCGATGGCAAGAAAGTGTTGCGCTGCTGTCCGGGACTACTGAGGGGCATAGTGGTATTGGGAAGGTAAGGAATGGTGGGATTTCTGGTGGAACTGTGCCAGGAGAAGTGACTGTGCCCGGCCGCTTGTGAGAAAACAGGATCGTTAGTGCCTTGACCCAAGCAGTCTGGAGCTGGAGGAAGCTGGTAGGAAAAGTCTGACTCTGGAAGAGATCCCAAGGAAGCATAGAGAGGTTCTGTGATAAAGTGAGCTTTGGATTGCAAGAAAGCCAGAATCCGAGCATACTTGGTATCTTTGGTCTCCATTCTCTCCACTGTGGTCAGGTAGTGAACTAGGTTCTTCATGCATTCATGATAGCCATAATAAAAGTAGTTGGCAAATTCAGCTAGAAGTTCTGCTGGAAAGGAAGAAAGAAAGAAAATAGCATTGTATGCTTGGTTTTGGGGATTTTTGGTTTAGGTTTAGGTAAGTTATATTTCAGTATAATTATTACGATTTGTAGTAGCTAAATTAGCACTTTTTTATTTTTAATTTAGTAGGCTAATTTCTGAAACTGACAGTACTCAAATATGGGCAAGCCTCCAAGTTAACAAAATATTAATAAAGGTATCTATGAAAGGCAGGCTGAAGAACAATGACATTTATCAAGTATCCAGCAGTGTCAGAAGTTATAACCACAAAGTGGATCATTAAATCAAGAAACTTTACTCCAAATTCTCTTAACAGAAAGTTTATACCATTTATACAAACAATCTAAACAGTACAAACAGTCTAAAATCAATGTCTGTCTCAGACTTTCCCAACATGGTTTTTTTCAGATGTGTGAACAGCAACTCTACCAGTTTCAGTCAAGCCATCTGGAAAGATGGAAGTTGTGGATTAACACATTTAACACCCTGCTGAAGACAGAATTAATCAATATTTAAAATAACTTCAAACAGCAATGTCGTATCCTACACAAACACACACAATTTGAAATATAGACCATTGTGGGTATATGTGCACAAAATATGCATCTACTGAAAGTTAACACATCACAAAGTTAATCAATTGGCAAGTGTGCTATAGTCCCTAAAAGTTTGTACCACCCAAAAAAATGTATTATTCATCTCAAAAGGCTTTCATTTTATTCTACTTAAAATGGACAAATAGATACCTCTTTATCCTAGATTATTAAACATTTAACAAATGCTAGATCCAATCAAATACCCACCTACCCAACCATACTCTCTTTGCATCCATCAATGTCCAATTACAGAAGATCGCATGCTTAATTTAATAGCCATGTTTTCTACAGTTAATGTCTCTTGCACTCAGCAATCTGGAATGAACTGCCTCTTTCTTCATGGGTTGACCCCATTCTATTAATTTATCTAACCCTTAAAACAATACTTAATCATTCCAATAAAAATAAATGCTAAAGATTAGGATCTGGGGAAGGGGCTAAGATGAAGCTGCTCTTTAGCTGAGCTCCTCAAAGCCTGCCAGGAGGCAGCTCAATCACAGCCTTGAATTTGCTGCTCTCAGGTGTGGTGGAGGACAGCAGCTGGATTCTCCTATTACACAGAACCATGGAGGGGGGGGACGGGTTGTTGAGTTAAGACAATATGCAGACCAAGACTCTGAAGTATGTAAAACCTAACTTACTGCTTAGCATTTCAAATGAAAAAGTCTATAGTGGCTTGTCATTAAACCAGGGTAAAATAAGCCAAGATGCTTCTAAAAGTCAGGGGATCAGAGAAAGGCAGGGAAGGGATGGGCAATCTGGTTCTTCACACTGGGCAGCAAAATATTTGAGACTGGCCCTGGCCTGAAAAGGTGCCTTATTTCATTCCAAAAAGAGAGCAAATTTAATCTGTAGGAAAAGAAAAGAGTTTTCTGTCGTTTTAAAAATGTGGTTAACCGAATCTGAGCTACAGTTCTTAAGAAGCTCTGTCTTAGCATCCAGTCGACCTAAGGCGCTCCGCAAGCTTTCCCCCGAATCCCCCAGCATCTCTTTCTGCGCCAGGCTGCCCGGCTCGCCTGCTGGCTGCCAAGCGCCGGGACGCACCGTCCCCCCCCCGAAGTGCGCGCCTACCCTTTTCTCTTCCCCGAGGGAAATCCGCGGAGTGCAGGGCCCTCAGGTATTGCACCGTCATCTCCAAAATCTCCGCCTTCTCTAGCTTGCCGGAACTCTGCAAGGAGCCAAGAGCAACATTTCAGGAGAAGTCACATCTGGTGCCAAGGAAGAAAGGGGGGGGGGGGGAAGGGACGGACTTGCCGTGGCACAGAACGAAAAAGCCACTCCGTTTTGCCTTCAGCTGAAAGCCTCCCTGCGAATCGGCATGGCAAGGTTTCCCGCCGGAGCTCTCCAGGCAAAGACAGGGACCTGCCGGTTCTAACCAAGGCCACCCTTGTCACTTGCTGCGCTTTTTCCTCTGGAAAGACGCCAAGGCCCCGGGAGGGTTGTTGTTGTTGTTGTTGTTGTTGTTTGGCTGGGAAAGGCGCGTGTACCTGTTTGGCCAAGGCCATGGGGACGGTTTTCCCCAGTTCGTTTAGACAGCGGTTGATCCGGTCTCTTCTCCTCTTTTCGATCACTTTGTGCGAAATGGGGATCTTCTGGAAAACATGTTAGTGGTGCAGGATAAATACACGAATAGCGGACAAGCGGGAAGAGCCTCAAACCGGACGGAGTCCCACCGGTTTTTGTTATTAACCCCAGGCCATTTAAAAGTTACTCGATGCTTCTGGGTATCCACCTGCTCTTCACCTTTAAAAAAAATTCCCCGTCAAAATCATCTTTTGAAGCCAGAATTCTAGAATTAAATTCTCCCCCATCCTCTGTTGAAACTTTGGAGAGAGAGGGAGGGAGGGGTGTCTTTGTCAGCAACCAATTACCTAGAGCTCCATAGGATCTCAGTTACATAGGATGGGGAGGGGCGGGAAAGGGCAGGGAAGGGCAGGGGGAAAGTGCGACGGGACGAGAAGACCAGGCCGTCTGAACATCTGGGTCACCCAGTGGCCTGACAGGCTCACATGAGCTGCCCAGAGTGAAAAGTCTCCTTTCGAAGTGTTTTCACTAGTAGCTCGTCTGCCTGGTGCTGCGTCCCACCCACCCATCCTCCTCCACCCTCTTTTAAAGCCACAAAGCCAATGGCTGAGGTTAAATGGCACCAGGCCCTCCGGAGAAGAAAGCTGCGTTCGGCCTGAAGTGCGCGGGGCAGCGCCAAAGCGCCAACTCACTTTCCGTTCCTTAAGTTTTGAAGACATCGAGGCGAGAAGCGGACGGGGGTGGGGAAAGCTAGCCGGAGGTCTCTACTCAAGTGGCCCAGATGGATTGTGGAGCCCGAACTTCCAAGAGGCGATTTATAAAGCGATCATTTCTAAGGCGAGGGAGGGGGCGATATTCATGGCCTGCCTGGTTCCATAGGATTAGGGAAAGCAGCATTAGGAGAAGACATGCATTAAAGATAAGGTTTCCTTAAAACCAGAGACCAGGGGTGGGTGAGGGAAGGAGGACAGATCAGCTTTGTCACTCCACGTGGCCTTCAAGGACACGTGATTGGCCCCCCAAAGAGCATTTGCATGGCAACGGGCAGCGCAAGACCACAGAAGCAACAAGTGGAGCGCAGTGGCGCGCTGGCAGGTTGTGAAACACCCGCGTCCTTCTTCAAAGCCCCCAAACGCCCGGTCGGTCTCTCACACGACCGCCTGTTTACAAATCCCAGGCACCTCTCTCCTTCCCCCCCCCCCGCTGCCTCCCTTCCCTGTCCAAGCGCCGACTGCATTTTAAAGCCTGTCCAGAGTCATTAAAGTAATTAAGTAAGCCCTTAATAGGCTGTTCCGCCCAGTTCAAGGAAGAGCCCTTGGAGACGGAGTGGGTCCGTTTGTTCTCAGGCTTTTCTCACACGACTTGGTGACACGTCCCATCTTTATGAGAGGTGGCAGCGAGGCTTTTTTTGTTTTCATCGCTTTCTGTGGCGGGGAGGGGGCACCCCGGCAGGTGTGGGGACTGAAGGGTGGCACAAGACCCCCCTCCCCGCTTTATAAATTTCTCTCCTCCCCTCAGCAGACCCAGGGAGGCTCCTTCAAACTTTTGGCACACGACCGTCCTTTTTCCTATGGTGTGTATTTCTCCATCGTGTGGTTTGCCTCGCTCCTCCGCCCTCCCCCCCCGCCTTTGGAGAGGCTCAATTTGTAGCCTATTATCCTATAGGAAAATGTCCCATTGAAAAGTGTGAATAGTTTCATTGGGCCTAAATTTTAATAATGCGGGTCAAAGAAAAGAGAGGCAAAATAAAGAGGGAATCGCAGCTGCTCCGAGAGCCCATTATGCGGTGTCACCTGCACCTATTCATTTGCCTAATTTTGGTCAATTTAACAAACTTCAGGAGAAATTATTGTGGCATTGTTAGAGAGGGTAAAGCTTTCTGATCGAATTAACAGCATGTTTTGATCCGGTAAATGTCTTGAGAAAGAAAGAAACAATCGCGTTTAAAGGGGCTTGGAGTGAAACGCGCCAAGTGGAGACGCCAAAGCGCAGCGCTCACAAAGGGAGCAAGTAACTGCCACAGGGAACTTTTGTACACGCACATTGCTGAAGTTTTTACACAAAAAGGCATTATTTCATACTTGAATAGTCTAATCCAACAATTGTCTATTTTCTGCAAACATATTTTCACAGCATTGTTAATTTTTTTCCAAGGGCCTCTGTTCTGGCAGCCGCGCCTCTTGGCTTGAGGCGCAAAGGATTCTCATTCGGGGGGGCAACAGATTTGTTCGAGGGGGGGCGTCCAGAGGGAAATAATGGACGTTGGGGAAAGATGTTTTATATATTCTGAAAGACTCAAGAGGGAAATATGGGAAACACTCCAACAGGAATCTAGGGAAATTCACAGAAGAAGAAGGGTCCTTTTCCTCTCCAAAGCTTCCGTGCGCATTTCCAGACCCTCTTTCATCTTGCAGTGGCAACTCCTTACTTCATTGCCCAAGGACACCCCGCACCTCCCAATCACTTTATTTGATCTATTCACTGCCTGAGTAATAAATGCGATCCAAAATACAGCTGTGGGTTTGCCAGTTCATATAAAAATAACCCAGAGAAATTTGGAGAGGTATGCCAGAGCCTTCATTTAGATCCAGTCATTCAGGAAATGGAGCCTATTCCAGGGAAATACTATCGTCGTGCTCCCGAGTTCAAATTCTTAGTTTCATTGTCATGTTTTGCAGGTTCTCTTCTCTTTCTTTAAAACAGATTAATGTTCATCTCTTTTATTATTACTTTACTTTGGAAAGTGCCACATAATGTCCTTAAATTTTAACTGTTTTCTTTTTCTTTTCACCGCATTCATGGTAAAATGCAAATTGGGGCTCTTCTCTCGTGATAAAATGCTAGCCGAAGAAATGTTCTTTCTCGATGTTTTGTTTGCAACCTGTTTTGTCTCCAACCTGGTGGGTGACTAAACAAATCCTTAGAGAAAGTTTTCAGAAGCAGCGTGCCTTGCTCGGTCCAGCCCAGGGACGCTCCCGAGTGCTGCTCTGCTTGCGAGAGATATCCTTTCAGAAAGCTGTTAGGTTTCAGTATATTCAGTCCTGCACAATGGGATTAAAAACTAACCGTTATCATCCAAATTAACTAAACTTTGAATAGTAAATGTAGGAGCTTTATTTTTTTTCCCCCTCCAGCCAGTGGAGAAGGAGTTGATCCGCTTACTGTCTGTGTTAACCGCCAGCTGCAGGCACCTGCGAGGCAATTCTTCTTTTTTTTACACCACTCAGTTTGTTTATTTGCTTCTTTCTCTCTCTCTCCTGCCGGAGAATTGTGTCTGGTCCAGGACAGCCTTCCACGAGGTGCAGGTTCAGGCTGGCCATGAAAGCTAGAAAGGACACGTGCAAACTGGATATGACAGGGGCGATGGTGCTGGGGTGCTGGAAGCGTTATGGCATATTAAGGAGATATGTTTGCTGTTGCTTTTGATTTTTAACGTTATTTCCCTGCTTAGACTAACAATGAGGGCTCCCGACATATATTATTAGCTGCTTTGGAAAGTGTGTGAACCTCTTACTGTTGAAGACAGGCAGAGATAGGGAAATTCTGCACTTTTTAACTCTCCTTTTTTTAATTTGTCAGTGCAGGAGGTTGTTAAATGAATTGAGGGTGTTACTTTTGCCTTGTGCCTTCCCTTTCCCTTCCTAGCCATGAGGAGGAAAATGACTTTTAAAAATTGTTTTGTTAGTAACTTATCTGTTTTAAACTATTTTTAAGAGGAATGCATAAAAACTATGATGATTTATAAAAAGGTAATGTTTTAAAAACAAACAAACAAGGAGGCTAAATGCAAAATTGTGCCCAGTCTTGAATATAAGTGATGGAATCTCCTCTGAGTATTAAGAGATCCTCTTTTTCATACTGACCCTGGATGGGGTGGCTTTTTTTTTTTTCTTGATTGTGAAACTAAAAAATACAGTTACATTCTAAGTGAGTTACATTTCACAGAAGTTACACAATATCCTATTGTGATGCATGCTTATGATAACCCATTCAGGCCTTTTGCCCAAGTGAACTGCCATCATCCAAGTGGGGTGGGGGGAATTAAAAGAAAGTTTCAATATACACAGTGCATTCAGGAAATATTCAGATCCCGTTCACTTTTGTCTATTTTGGTATGCTGCAGCCTGATTCTACAATTGTTGAAATTCATTTTTTCTCATTAATTTACATTTAATACTCCATAATGACAAAATGAAAACAGAATTTTAGAAATGTCTGTAAATTTATTAAAAAAAGGAAAAAACTGAAATATCACATTGACATAAGCCCACCAATCTGGGCTTTATGGAAAAGTGGCTAGATGGAAGCCTCTCCTCAGTGCAAAATCCATAAAAGCCCGCTTAGAGTTTGTTCCTCACAGTCTGAGAGTCCTTCAGGTGCTATTTTCCAAGCTCTAAGTGGGTTTTCATGTGTTTTGCACTGAGGAGAGGCTTCCCTCTCTGTACACTCTGCCATTAAGCCCAGATTGGTGGATGGCTGCAGTGATGGTTGTCTCTCTGGAACTCTGTCTCATCTCCAGACAGGATAACACTGGAGCTCAGTCAGCTCAATCAGACCGTTCTTGGCAAGGGTGAAATTTACTTACCTTCACTACTGATTCGCAAATGCGAGTGTGCGCGCGCACACTTCACTGGCACACGCCACCTCTGTGCATGCTCAGAGGGTAAAAAATGGGACATCATGACATCTGGATGGGTGGACAGAGACTCCCGCTGCCAGTGCTACTGGTTTGCCCGAGCCAGATAGAACCCGCTGAATTTCACCACTGGTTCTTGATCACTTTTCTTACTAAGGCCCTTCTCTCCCGATTGCTCAGTTTGACCAGGTGACCAGCTCTCGGAAGAGTCATGATTGTTCCAAACTTCTTCCATTTGGGAATCATGGAAGCCACTGTGCTCTTAGGAACCTTCAGTGTAGCAGAAATTTTACTGTAGCCTTCCCCAGTTCTGTGCCTTGCAATAATCCTGTCTCTGAGCTCTACAGGCAGTTCCTTTGACCTCATGGCTTTTGCTCTGCTACAGTATGCGTTGTCAGCTGTGAGGCCTTTTTGTGCCTTTCCAAAACAAGTCCAATCAATTTAATATACCACAGGTGGGCACCAGTCAAGGTGTAGAAACATGCCAGCAACGTTCAAGAGGAATGGGAGACATTGGAGCTAAATTTCACGTGTTGTTGCAAATGTGATCGTTCAGTTTTTTCCTTTTAATAAATTTACAGACATTTCTAAAATTCTGTTTTCACTTTGTCATTATGGAGTACTGAATGTAGATTAATGAGAAAAAAGATGAATTTCAACAACTGTAGAAAATCAAGCTGCAGCACAACAAAATTGAGTCAAGGTTGACTCAGCCTTCCATCCTTTCTAAGATAGGTGAAATGAGGACCCAGTTTGTGGGGGCAATAAGCTGACTTTGTATAAATATACAAAAGTATGAAGGCTATTGCTGAGCACATTGTAAGCCGCCCTGAGTCTTCGGAGAAGGGCGGCATATAAATCAAATTTTTTAAAAAAAATTGACGAAAGTGAATACTTTCTGAATGCACCGTAAATCAAAAATCACTTCCATATGTTTACATTATAAAAAACAAAAAACATAAATATGGAAGTTCTGGTACTAAGCTTCCCATGGAAAAACTTCAGAAAGGTTCTTATTTCTTTAATGTTCCACCTCTGAATTGGGGAGAATCTGCTTCAGAGGAACCAGAACTTTGTTTGAAGAAAATTCTTTGCTGAATAGATTTAGAAAGCCATTTATTGGAACGTATATAGTCTGAAGGAAGATGAT